ATGTTCAATTGACTCCCGAGGTACTTTTATTCTTTGACGTCTTCATTGGGGCTCCCATTTAAAAATACAGAGTTACTGTCCGAGCACAAATTCCGGATCACTTGTTTTAGAGGTGTTGACGACTGAGCCATAACAACTTCTTTTTTCGGCTAGGCGACGTTGCATCTCTGAGGAGTGTTCAGAAAATCCTGTGATAAGGACCATATCATCACAATGATGATTGAAATCGCAGATGATTGAGTATGTACCATTGATGTTCACTATAAACTCGTTCCCGTCGCAGCGGACGTATAATAGACTCAAGGCATGCAGTGAAAAGATTAGGAGATATTGGGTCACCTTGTCTTACTCCTTTTTCTACTGCAACCTACGACGTCTTTGTGGAACGAAATATGGTTGTGCAGTCCGTGTAGCATTTCTGCAACACTTTCACACATAGCTATAGCTGCTCGACACCTTGAGTGCGTGCAGATCATCTTTGGCTCCACTGAATCAAATGCCTTCTTGTAATCGATGAAAGTCATTACGAGCGGTGAGTGGTGTTTACGGTATGCTCCAATGACAGGTTACAATATGATCGAGTGTGCTGAAGATCCGACGGAAGCCTGCCTGTTCTACTGGTTGAGCCTTTTCCAATGTGCTTCGGATGCTGCCGCTACGCAACGAGTAAATACTCTATAGAACGCCGCAGAAGTGTAATGGAGTATTTTGCTTACTTAGGTCTTACTAGTCTCATTTCTTTAATGGCAGCACCGTCCATGATTGTTTCCATGCTTTTGGGACTGCAGTAACACGTGTATCTCTTGGCAAGCGCTTGATAAGATGGCCCGCAGGTTCTGAGATTCTCAATGGTGACGCCGTCTCTTCCTGAAACCTTTTCTCGTGTTTAAATCGCGTGCAGTACATCTGCTGAAAGAAAAGGCGACATTCCGTCCGCGGTCAGCTACTCTTCTGCAGTGATGGAGATTTCTGCTTGAAGAGAGTGGAATAAAATGTTGTGATTACTTGTTCCATTTCTGGTGTAAATGTACAGGGGGAACCATCTTAAGTTAGACATGGAGATTATCAAGCGATGTTCTGCCATCCTTCTTCTGGCTGTTTTTAGCTCCTTTTGCTTCTGCCTCGCTTAAAAGTCTGGATCTCGTGAAGTTGATGTGGTCTTCAGTGATGCGCCGTCTGCACAATCTACTTAGTAGCGTGTACTCGACATGATTTTCTTTCCGATCCATATTCCTCCTTTTCTCGAGTAAGGCACGAGTAGAGGCGGAAATGCGACGAGCGTTGTGATTCGGGCTATACTACGGCAGCTTTCTGCGATCCTTGATACCGTTCTTATAGGATTGTCATAGTCGTCGTTAATGTCACCAAGTCATGAAAGACTGCATTTGTGAGCATTGTAACTGCATCTGTATTGAGAACGATAGGAGCGTGGTAGTCTTGGGCGTGAGGGTATGAGGGTCAAGACCACGATCAAAGTGGAACCAACTCCGTAACAGTCGATGATCGCTCCCTGTGTTGAATGAAGGGACGACTGCCACATCTTCATGGCCCTCCGATTGCACAGGATGTGATCAAGCTTGTGATAGTATTGGCCAATTGGAGATACATGTGTCTTTCTTTTGTGTAGAGGTTTGAGGAATTGGCTGTTGCCGTGGAAGTGACGGTGAAGTTAACAGAAATCCGCTAATCTCTTTCCAGCTTTGTTGCGATCTGCAGAGTGCGGTCCAATAAAAACCTCTTCAAGTGTCCGTCCGATACTGACGAAATCGCCCATTACGTAGCTACCCTCATGACTGCTCACAAATTCAGCTAGTTGTTGGTAAAAGTCATCGCGTTGCTCATTATCACTGTCTGCTTTTGGTGCATAAACTTGCAGAAAAGTAACACTTATGTCCCTCGAAATTTCTTTTTCAAGAATGCCGAAGCGGTGTCCACAGAAAGTCACTCTCTGAACACGTTTGAGTCTGGCGATACGATGAATCCAATGCCTCCTGAGGTTGAGTTGATTTCACGACCTCCTAGAAAAACTGTTGTTCCATCGTTCCATTTGCATGACAGCGGTTCTTTTCGTTTTCGTTTCGCTCAACCGATGACATGATATTTGATCCGTCGTGTTTCGTCGACTTGTGCGTGAAGCTGAGCAGCCGAATTAATGCCTCGACAATTGTATGTGCAAGCGATTAACTGGCTAACTCTTGTCCGTTTTCTTTGGCAGCCTATGGCCCTGTGATTTCTTCGCCTTTGGCTGTTTGCCGATCCAGCGCTGCCTGACTGGGCAGTGACAGCCTGCAGGGGACTAAGGCGATTTGGAGAAGTGGTCGTAGTATTTTCGTCCCACAGGATAGCCTTACTAGGGCGTTTCTGTGCTCAAGGAGAGCGCCGTCCCACCGTAAGCTCACGTTCGGTCCTTTAGTTACGAGGATCGCCATGGGGTCTCAGCCCTATTCTGGCGAATATTTCGACTCGCTTCAAGCTCGTATACCGCGGCAATTTACAAACCGCGTATGAGAGGTGCGCGGGTTCTACCTTGTCGCGTGACAAAGTAGAGCACAGAACAAGCTAGAACAAGGCAGTCATGGTAGCCTCATGACACACACCCCCAAAATGGAAGTTTTGATTCTAATAAAGATTTTGACGGACTTCTTGCCTATCGGGTCGGGCTGCCTACCACTGTGCCTTTTTCTGACAAACCCTGCCTCGTGCCGTCTGCTCCATGTGAGTACGCATATTCCTAAGAAGTCCGAGTCGCGCCCATCGGTTCGGGCTCCGCTTAATACATTGTTCACTTCTGGCCAGCCCTGCTTAGTACCGTATGTGCCCCAGAGGCGATTGCCCAGCCAACCGAGTCTCAGCTATTCTCTTGTATCTACGTAGCCAACGATGCTTCACACATGATACCAGCTTAGTTTAGCACGCTACCGAGCACGTGACACGGTAGGCTTCGTTGAAACTAATTAGCTTGTGGAACGTTCAGGTCTTTATCAAAGAATGCAACCTAGGTTGCATCGGAAAATTTCCTAGCCGACCTTCCCATAGTCTCCCTTTTTGCAGAAGCTCACCGTTTGATAACCGCGTAGAGTGCTGAGCTAAAGTGGTGTATGTAAACAACCACCATGCGTCGAATGTCAGGGTAATTTAGCGGTCGAATGATATTGATGCTAATGATAAAATAGAAATACCCAGTGGTCATTATCGTATTTCTTAAAACATCCACCATACATTCCTAAGAACTTTGGAAAGAGTAGCGGTCGAATGGGGTCCGAGACGATGAGAAGCGGATAAGTGGAAATGAAATGAGTTTGGCTCTTGTATTTGATTCGAAGCGATCTCTGTGGTCTCACGTATATCGTCATTATCAGTTTTATCACTTTCTTTCCCCCACCAAACATGTTCCCGTCCCGCCCCCTGTACATCACTTCTTGGAACCAACGCCCCACTGCTGCTGGGACGCGCGCTATGAATTTCGTGAAATTTGCGTTTCAGCGCCTTATCAGCTCTTATCAGTCGTTATCACTTTCTGACCCCCACCAAATATGTTCCCGTCCCACCCCCTACATCATACTAAAATACAGCGCTCCATGCTGCAGCGAAGCGCGCTATGAATTTCGTGACAAACGGACGCACACACAGACATACTATTATATTTAGTGAATTATATGTCAGGATGGATATGGATATGGATAGGGGTGTACCCTCTCACGCTGAAATGTGTGGCACGGCCTTAGCATTCTCCATTCTTTATTGCCGACTTTTAGCGATGTCATCGACAATATGTAACGCGGTCATCGCTGTTCCACACACCCAGCACCGCTAGTGAGGAACTTGACGATAACGTCCTAATAAACGGTGATCTACAGTGAGTTGCACCTTTCTTTC